GAATACATTATGTCTCCCGGTGCTGGGAGCTTGCGCGTGTACCAGTTTGTTGGTGTACGGTGGTACACGATAGCATGCGACCCGGGTCGTTGTATGTCATACGATTATGCGCGTAATGCTTGGATAAAACGCGAGGAGAAACGCAATCGTGTAACTGGTCCGCGATATCGATCGTGGAGCTCAGCACCGCGATCCGGTGTGCAGAGAGTGCATAAATCGTGGCCGGTGCTGATTTCCCTGGTCGATTCCACGCTCTTTGCATTTTGCGTTCAGCTATCCGCGGCTCGATCGATAACCATTAACGGCTTCCTCATCGTTTCCAATTTTTCTTCGCGAACTTGAGACCCCGGCGCCGACGCGGGCTGTAATTTACTCGGTTCCTCGGAAGGCCCGTAATTATTCGGGGAAAATCTTTTTCTTTCGGCGGTCGCTAATTACGAGCCCCAACAAAGTTAATTGAACACTTTCTTTCTTGGCATGGTTCGCGATGTGTTTAACACGGAACCCGCCGAACCGGTCAAGACGACCGGTTTCATGTTCTTTTGTTTTGGACGGGGACCGTAACTGTTATAGCTGGTCGATGAAATATAACGAAAAAGAAACATTTTATATTCTGGAAATGTTAAAGAACACATGTGCCGAGCGGCGATAAATTTCATCAAGGTCTTACGTTATAAAAAAAATTACAAGATATCGCCTCTCGTTCGAACGTTCCGCATGGATCTCCTCCTTAAGATAATCGTTAATTATGTTATTTAATTGCTTTCGTATTTCCGAACGGTATAATACAATGCTGTGTACCATTTAGAGTTAGAGTTTGAATTTTATTTTGGTATTTTCGAATTCAGATCATCGAACATGTTTACGATGTTATGTCAAAACATATTGTTGTGGTCAATTTATTGCGATATCTAAGACGCTATAAAACGTACACACTGATTGCGAGTGAATTACAAATTACATTAATCTATAGTTTATGTCGGCGGGGTCATTTGGGTAATGTTTTTAATTAGCGTGGACGGTTTTACATCAGACAGTGTGTCCGATTATTAGGCTCCATCAGCTCATTAAAGCGCGGAAGGAAGTAGATGCAATTTATGGTGTCCCATAAGGAGACGTAGAGAGAACGTCCTAATTAACCGCGTAATAGGGTTAAATGTGGATAATTGCCGGGCCTGTAAGTACGGTATTCCAACAGCCCAACGTGCCACAATGCTAAACACGAAGTTTTCTTCGGCGAGCACCTTATACAATACACGTTTCCTTTTCTTTAATTTCATCATTTTTCGAAATACAGAGAACTATACGAGGTCAATGTCCCGAACCCTTTCCTTTTTTTTTTGTAACTTTGCTCATAAAGCTAAAGAAAAAGTTTCATTGAAGGCACAAATAAACTATAAAACGAAATAATTAATAATAATATTTTATAATAAATATAATAAATAAAAATATTTTATAATAAAAATAAAATTTTATATTAATAATATTTTGTTGCACTACGTTTGGCTTACAAATAGTTTTCTATTACGTTACTATCATCAGTATCTCCTACAATTATTTTTTTGCAAGTCGAAACTTTATTTCTTAGGCATTATTATTAATTATTATAGTCTTTCATTCAGCCTTGCAGCCATAAAAGACTTCGGACTTGGTTTCTTTACTATCATTCTCCTTTTCACTCTCTCTAGGCGAAACCTACAATCTGTAGCCCATTATACCATGTCGTATTGTATCTTATTATTATACTACATTTTATGACATTATATTACTCTGCGTTACGCTATACTATGTTAGGTTACACCATGTTATTTGGATCTTCGCTTTACTTACCTTTTTCTCTTTACGTATGTAATTTATTATTTGATATGCTTCTTTTTTATTTACTGCTCCCTTCAGGTTCATTTTCTCTTCTTCCTCCTTTGTCTTTTCAATTTTTAATGCCATTCCTCTATATTCCAGTCGCTGCTTCCACTCACGACATCTTCCATACCGATATTTCGTAACCATTACAATTCTGAAATCGAAGATTCGACTTTCTAAAAATGGATCTCGATTATTCGATATACTTCACGAACCAATAACGCTAAGCATAAGTGCTTACTATTAGATGTCATTTATTTCAAGAATGGCCAATCATGTACGTTAAATTATTTAATGGTAAGATTTGTTGCCATCGCTATTAGGATTATTAAATTTTTATTTCATTTAAAATTTTTAAGATTATTAAAATTTCGAGTTATCATCGTCGAAGTACCGTGTAAGAAATGGAAAAATACGTCGGTCGCTGAAGCTGACTACTTTAACAGAAAACTGACTCAGCAGACTTGGGTTTAACTTGCATATCCGGAAGTTAAACCTTCAACTTCGAGCTGTCAATATCTCGGAATTGGGATTTCTCTATTGGCAAAATGTCGAAGAACCTTCCGATTTATATTTGCATTGGAGATATTCATATGGGTCTCCGATACTTTCATATATGTATTTCAGATATCGTGCGTACAATATCATTTATTATCCGCAACCCACATTAAATTGTTAAAGGCAGATTTCCATACGATAGTATTTCTCACCTTTAATTCACGTAAAATTGATAAAAGTAAATTTTTATTCGACAATTTCCCTTAAATATTATATTTTATTCAACAATTGCTATTACCTTACAATAGCAGACCTGCCACAACTCTTGAAATAATATTATTTGAAATATTATCTGAAATAACATGTTATTCTATTTGATTATTATTTGAGATAATTGTGAAATTTTCTTCACACAAATGTACAGTTAACATCGGTTCGCTAAAAAGAAACTCATCGAAAAGATTTCTAATGCTATTCTTGGAGATATTGTTTCGAGAAAAACATGTTTACGATTTCAAACGCGATATCAAGTAAGATATAACAGTTTCTTCTTTTTTATTAAGGCGTTTTAGAATATTACAAACAATTCTGAATACAGCAATGAAATCTAAGTTTTTTAGAATTTTTCCTGCGGCTGCTTGAGAGTTATACACTTGAACTGTATTTCTGCAAAATCAATGTTTTACGACCCACATAATTCGATCGAACGTATCTAGCACTGATAACGCCGTCGATATCGGTTCGACGAGGAAACGTTCGCCGATGAAAATTGCACGAAAGTTACTGTTGTGCAACTGTACTCTGCGGTGTCGTTAACCCTGAAGCAACTTCTGTTTCGTCTCTGCAGACGGCTACGTGATAGCGATCTCCGGTCAAGTGTACGAGTATCATATTAAAATTTCGCGACGTCTTCATTGCCATATCTCTTCCTTTTCGTGTTACGTTTCAGCGTTACGCAGACGTTCGCTCGATTATGATGGCGCGAGTAGCGTAAACCTTGAGCCACAGTGTGCAAAAAGTTTACACTTCTTCTATCTCTTAAGAACATTTAATATTGTACACAGTGTTTCGTTAATTTTTGGAGGCTTTAAATCTTCGTTATTTTCACCGAAACGTGCCAATCTTTGTAAAGTATAGAATAAAAGATATTGTAATTCTTGTCTGTCAGTGATTTGTCAGTATGTCCTTTAGATCTCGTAATAAAACAAGAGCTTTTGTAGTTTCATTAATATTTGTTTTAGATATCGTTCAATCTTCTATTGTATGTTCGTAAAAAGTTGATATAATATTAAATTATTTCAATTTTATTAATTTTTCAGATTATAATTTTAATGTATAATAATGAAACAGGAGAGTTTGCAATTGTATTAATATTTTTCTTAGATATATTGTTCTATCTTTTACTTAATTTCTTTAAAGAATTACTGTAATATTGAATTATTTCAATTTTATTTTTCATTTTATAACACTGCAACACTTGGTAATGAAATAGGAATTATTATAATTTTATTAATATTTTTCTGAAGCATCATTTACTCTTCTATCTTATCTCTATGATGAATGCCTATATCACTGAATTATTATAATTTTGTTAATTATTTAATATTTTAATCCGAGTAACGTTGGTACAATATGAGCATAGGAAACTCTTATCAACCTTTTACGATTACTAAAATTGGCTGAATTAATTTCTGCGAAAGTAACCGGAGAACCGGAATGCGTCTATTGACTAACAGGTGTGATTCACGCAATGGAATTCCATGATCAGTGCAATGTTGAAATTCGTGCAGGTGATTAAACAATTACCTTCAAAAAATGTTAACAAGACTTGATATATTGGTCAATTATTTTTTAATTACTGTATTAGAAATCGGTAATAAATTAAAAATATAAAATAAAAACACATTGCACGAGTCTCTAATTGTGCTGAATCATAAATTATTTAAAATAGGACAGTCTTTACTTTTTAAATAAACAATTTACGAACATCAATTATTCTATGCATTCTCGTTTTAAATAGTTTATTATTTATTATAAATAAAGGATATATGAAATATTTTCTAAATAATTATATATATTATTAATTACCTAAATTATTATTCTACAACCTGGTATTTCTAACATTTTCATATGTTTGTTCATTTAATCATTTTGTATCTAGAGATATGAATACTTGTTGCGATACTTTGTTTCTTCGCATAATATAAGAGACTCCATAATATTTATGTTAGATTTGATACATCGCCCATTATTACTATTTTGAAATTGCATAAGGGGTATGCGTATATTGCTGAGATTCAGGATTCGTCATTCTCGAGAAAATAAGTTGAACATTAATTGATTTAGCAATTATATTATTATTTCAATGTTCTCGACGTGTTGTTTACGTATATGCATAAATCCACTTTTGATTGTTTATTTCGTAATGACGAAAATGCTTTCACAGAAAATAACGGAACAAATGTTTTAATTCGAATATACATTACGATGGAATTGGTGAGAAGACTATGAAAGTATGAATTCAGTCTTCACTTGCATAGCGACGCTTTTAGACGATCACTTTTAGCGATCGGTAGATTTAGTGTGAAAGAAAGAATCGGAAGAAATGCTTTAAAGAAGGGATCGACGTGTTCTGATTTTAGGCAGTGAAACTGGAATCAGTGCACCAAGGAAGGACGAGGTATCTGGTCGTTGTGTCATGCACAGGAAGACAGAATGCCGAAGAGAGCTGCCTGCTCGGCATCGACTGTCACGACAGGGCGACTGTTGGCCTTGTACTGCGAGTCCTAGCCGACACTGCCATTACACTCGACGGCGACGGGTACGTTGGATGTTTTAAAATTTCTATTCCATTAAATTTTCTAGAAATTCTTGAACAGATCGATGTGAAAATGATTGCTGTTGCGAATTAATATCGCATTTCGTAATCAACATTTTAACAGAATAACTACATAAAGAAATAAATAATTTAAAAAAAAAGCAAACGCTCAATTTCTTTTAACTTCTCGCTCACTTGGTACACCAAATACGCGTAATCTGTAGTGTGCGAGTGTGTGCATGTGCATAATGTTCAAGATTATTATTACGATATATTCCAGGGTATCTATCACTAAGTGCCGTGTGAAATAACTGCTAAACGGTTGAATTGATGAAAAAAGCGTAAAATGTCTTTTTTACCTTTCTTTTCCATAGAATACGTTAATGCAAGACAACCAATTTTTTTACCCAATTTTTCAAGAACAATTGAAGGTTATTTCAAACTTTTTTAATAGAATCATGCTTTTTAGGGTGCACAGCGAGTACACCCGATACTAAAACTCCGCGATTACAAAATCTCTCGGGTTGTAAAGTCGATTACGCTAAGCGACGGAATTGATTAGTATCGCTGTTCGTCTAATTAAAGATGAACAGCTGTTTTAATTTTGAAGAATGAATTGAAGCACTATAAAGCACTCAATTCGATGGTCGAAGGTTGAAAGACTATCTGAGTAGTAGACTAGCGTGAGCTGGAGTCTACTGTAGTTGACTGAAGCTGAGTTGACTGATTAACTGAATAGTAGACTAGCGTGAACTGGTGTCTGCTGAAGTTGAAGAGTTGAGTGTAGTAGACTAGCGTGAGCTGGAGTCTACTGAAGTTGAAGAGTTAAGTGTAGTAGACTAGCGTAAGCTGGAGTCTACTGAAGTTGAAGAATTGAGTGTAGTAGACTAGCGTGAGCTGGAGTCTATTGAAGTTGAAGAGTTGAGTGTAGTAAACTAGCGTGAGTTGGAGTCTACTGTAGTTGACCGAAGCTGAGTTGACTGACTAACTGAATAGTAGATTAGCGTGAGCTGGTGTCTACTGAAGTTGAAGACTTGAGTGGAGTAGACTAGCGTGAGCTGGAGTCTGCTGAAGTTGAAGAGTTGAGTGGAGTAGACTAGCGTGAGTTGGAGTCTACTGAAGTTGTAGAGTTGAGTGTAGTAGACTAGCGTGAGTTGGAATCTACTGTAGTTGACTGAAGCTGAGTTGACTGACTAACTGAATAGTAGATTAGCGTGAGCTGGTGTCTGCTGAAGTTGAAGAGTTGATTGTAGTAGATTAGCGTGAGCTGGAGTCTGCTGAAGTTGAAGAGTTGAGTGTAGTAGACTAACGTGAGCTGGAGTCTACTGTAGTTGACTGACTAACTGAATAGTAGACTAGCATGAGTTGGAGTCTACTGAAGTTGAAGTGTTGAGTATAGTAGACTAGCGTGAGCTGGAGTCTACTGAAGTTAAAGAGTCGAGTATAGTAGACTAGCGTGAGCTGAAGTTGACTGAAGCAGATTGACTGCGATTCAGAACTTAGTTGAAATGGACAGCGCGCACCTGATGAAACAGAGTCGCGGACTAGAGACCGAGCGAGAATGACTGAGTTTAACTGACACTGACTGACGAATGTCAAAACAATGACTGACTGACGAATAGATGATCAATGACCAAAAGAAGAATCGGTTTCGAGCTTTTACACCGTTTCGTGGACAGAAGACTAGAAATTGATTGGCCAGTGACGCGATGGAAGGGGATGTAAAAGTGACGTAGCACGCAGTATTATGGTTATAAGAAGGCTATGGCTCTACGAAATTGAAAGCCTAACGAACGTGACCTTTCGTCGATTGCACGTCGCTCGTTGAAGGACTGTTAATTTTTCTCGCTGAGCCGAAGATTCCCCGTCAATAAAATGTCTTTTTTAGGAATAAAAGAAAAAGGTAATTCGCGTCCCGGAGAAAGTTAGGCAGACACAGCACGAAGATTCCATTGAAGGACGGATCAGATGCTCTATTTTCGTTTCGCCATAACGAAAGAGCGTAAAAAATGTAAATAACTATCACATAGATCTTGAAAAATGTAGTAAAAGATTTCTTGTCTTACGTATTCTACGTAAAAAAAACACAATTTACTTTTGACACTTTTTTTCACGAAGTCAATTGTTTACCAGTTATTTCAAACACTACTTATTGATGGACACCCCTTATATTAATTCAGAACAGCAATGGTTTTCACTTCTAACTCTACAATACTATTTCCAACATGAAAGTTTACATGAATTTGAGTCGATGTTTAGAATTTGCTAACTAGAACTTGCTCCACCAATCAATCATTTTTGAGAGGTTCTGAGGAATGTAAGGGAATTGAGAAAGTAGGTAATTGCTAGACTGCGGATCTTTATGATGTGATCTCTATGGCGTGTGCAGATTTTTAAAATGCAAACGTACAAATCAACAAGATCCAATGGCATTTTTATTTCCTTTTTACAATTTTATTCGACGAAGAAAACTTTCTCCTTTAATTCTAATTTCTGTAAGATCACGTATGAAAATGGTAATTTGCATAGAGATCTGCAATCGAGGAATTACTATGACGAATCTTAGCCTTACAGTTTCCATATCGATAAACAAATTGCATCGATTTTGCCTAATTTATATGACAGCTAACCATGAATATATTAAACAGTAATTTATTCGATTCAATAATTCTTAATCATGACTTGTGTCTATCTTTTGGGCAAAAAATCTGATATAGACTACGATTAACGAGAACAATCGTGTTGTGAAAATGTGTAGAAAAATTACCAGAAAGTTCAAACTTAACCGTGAAAAGTGTTCGTCAATTCTAAAGACGATTTCACAAAAATTCTACGGCTCTAGATTTTATTAAAACATGAATAAGCATTCCGATAAAATTCACAGAATAAAAAAAAGCATACTTTGGCAACAAATTTCGAAAAAAATACTTAATTTAGAAATCACTGAGTCATCATCACTGATGTCAAATCACTGATCATCGCGTTTAACTCTTATACCATCGAGCAACGCGATAACATCATTGGCTAAATTTGAGAAAAGTTCATTTTCTTAATATTTTTAATACATAAAGCTTTGTTTCTTAATATACTCCTTTATGCATTCTGTAATTATTATCTTCTTATAAAGCTTTTATAACTTTCTTCTCAAACATTACGAAATTACATGAACGTGGCTCAGTTTATCTTCGCTTAAAATTTGTGTTAAAAATCTATTACAATTTAAATTTTGTAATAAAAATTCATATTAAATTACTATTTAAAATCTGTTACAATTCATATTTATAATAAAAATTCAATTTTTCTATTGGAAATCTATTACAATTTAAACTTATAATAAAAATTTAATTAAAAATAATAGAAATTATAATTCAAATTTGATATTAAAATTGTTAGATACAACATTTTTGTCTGACACTAAAAGGATTAACGTGAATCTCAAAAGAAAACGATACAAAACTAGATGGTATATCAGAATTCTATCAACGATACTACGTAGCCGATAGTTCCGAGAAGTATCGAAACACGAGGAGGATGTTATCGGTAATAGTAGCGCTTAGCTTGTTAAATGGAGGATGTGCAGGCCTAATGGAACCTCATGTTCAAGAAATTCAAGTAACGTTCGGTACTTTATGAGCAGACATTTTTACAATGACATGCAATAACGTGTTCCAGTGTGTGGAACAAACTCACTTGTTCCGAGCGTCGTTGCAGTGAATTTTAAGAAAGTGCCTTACCACTTGACGTATATAAAAAAAAAAATCGAAACAGTGGTAAGAGAGTGTCGAAGGAAAAAATGAATTGAAAGTGAGAGTCCGTTGGCATTTACTTCTTATAACGGCACTGACACAGGACGTTGGCGCTTAGGCAGGCAACATTGGCTGGAAAATTGAGGAAACGCTTGAAAAACGACGTGGATAGTACAGTATTGTAATATGAAACATCGAAGTCTCAAATGTCTTTATAAAATTTCCAATTAGAAAATTTTCTAGATGTAATTATTACACTGCGAATTTTATGTACTTACGGCAAAAATAAGTAGACGCAATTTAACTCGTTGCCTGATAATTAAATAATTAAACAGTAAGTTTATACTATGGGATTAAATAGACTCTAGATCCAATTAGTTTCTAACTGAGCAAATAATGTCCATTCATAATTTTATTTTGTTAAAAATGCGTTGCTTTACGGTTAGGGCAGGAAGACGTATTTTACACTATAAACTAATATTTATAGAAAAAATGTTTGAAATTCTATTTGAAATAATAGGTTCTTCGCAATTCAAATAAGACAGTATTTCAAATAGGATATAAATTTTCATTAAACAAGATAATTAATTTTGGAAATCTAAAGCTAAAGCATGAAAATAAATATTTCATTTCGATAATCTAGAACATAGAATAAAATAGTTTTTATTTTAATAATATACAGCACAGAAAATAGAATACTTTTCATAGAAAATTGATTTTCATACGCCTAAAGGATAATCATCGTTAAATTTCAAAATGATTAGAAAATATGAACTTTTATGTGTTGTAATTATTGGTAACTAAAAACTATTTCCATAATTTATAATGGTTGCAGGTAACCAAAATCATTTTAAGCAAAGTTTTACAACAGCTATTTTTGACAACGAATAAAATATTTTATTTTCAAAAACACCTGCACGATCGAAAATAAAATATCTATTTACTATTTGCCATTTCTCAAATATCATTTCACTGAACTGTTTATCGCTGCGAATCTCGTTCATCCGAGCCAACACGAAGCTTCAAGTTCTCATGCAACGACTCCAATAGACACAGTTCTTTTTTTATCGATCAATTATATCGAGGAAACTATCAAGCTTCATGGAACCCGATCCGCTCCGCCAATAATAATCAACGGTCCATTTCTGCGAGTCTTAATCGAAGAGCAGAGAAAGCGATCGGGATTTTACAGGTTATCAGATATTCGCCGGCAACGGATAGTTCCGCACTTTCTCTTCGGTCGGCTGCTACCCTATT